CGATCTTGCTACGGCACGAAAAATGCAAAAACGCATAATCGCACCGGCCCGCCTGGTGCGTTCCAGTCTAGGTTGCAATCTCAGTCATAATTTCGGGGTTTTTGTTGGCTGGATTATATTTACACTGAAGCGTTATTGCTAATGCTTGGGTGCCTCGAACTTTTTTGTCGCCTTCCTGCTGTTTTTTTCCCCTTCCCTGTTTTTCTAGGACGTCACTGTAAGTGAGAAAAATTATACAGATGCATGGGCATGATGTTGCTTCGTCATTTTAACTGTGTGATTCGGATAACTTTGATGATTCCACATCTGATTTTGTTTTCCTAAAGCTATGCACCTAGAAGCTGCTTCTAAAAACTACGACAGTCGTTACGGGAAGTTTTTCTTTTCGTGTTGCATAAATCTGAACAAATCAGCTTCCAGGAAATATCAAAGTACGAAAACAGATTCACTGAATGCCACTCTGAACATTTCGAGGGGGAGGTTGTACTCTATCAGAATTCCAGCGATGTCTTCCTCTGTGCTGTCTTTATAACACCAGATAGTGTTGAAGCAGCGTGAAAACTTGAAAACCGCCCGACAGTGCAGTGGGTCTTTCTCACGATAATACCAAGATTTGCGCTACGCTACTAATATTGATGTGTGATGTTTAATTCAGCATGTTTTGCGCAGAGCATACCGTGAACATTGGCAACATGCAGTTGATTTGAACTTGCCGGGGCCGGAAGAAGATATACAGCAGTTTTCAACTCATTATCGTGGTCCGCGGATCCGAGAACGCGTTCTCGGATTTCGCATTCTTCGACATTCTTTAGTCAGCACTTTTTTTTTCTCTCTTCTCCAATTTGGTGGCTCCTGGTGGTGTTTAAATAACGAATGAGGTGAAAAATATTTTGTTCCTTTCATTCTGCATTTAAAACTGTTTGCAGTTGTTTGAATTTAACGTCCCTAACACTCAAACTCATTGTTTTTTAATCGCATTTTTTACCTGTTTTACTTGCTAGATAATATTGACGGAATTTTATCATAACTCTCACCTTCCCTCGGAAAACTTCGTGAAAAAATTTTTATTTATCACTTATTTAATTTATAAAATTTTGTCACTCCTTATTTAATTTGTAAAATTTCTTCACTCAATTCTGTCACTTAGCTTCATTTTGCAGTACCGTAAAACGTCTTAACATTTTAATTTTTTAACATGAGTACAAATTTTTTTCCTTTATGATTTCTTTTGTGTTTAGCCACAACCAACGAAGATGGGACAGACACAGAAGGCAGCACCGCAGATTGTGCAACAGCTGAAGCCTGTGCAGGCTGAAATCGGGCGCCAGGCACAGTTTTACGTAGCATTCAGTGGTGACGAGCCACTTACCGTTACGTGGTTCCGAAGTGGCAAAGAAATCAAGCCAAGTTTCGAGTTCCAGGTTTGCTTTTTGTCGACACTGCTTTGCTGCACGGACTGCTGCAAATGCTACGTTTATATTAATTAGCTGTAGCTGACTACTACTGTATTCAGCCCTTACAGGTTCGACCAGTCTTTTACCAAAAGGTTGGCGAAATTGATTCGGACGACTGCTTTTTTTCCCAGCAGTAATCATCGGCTGGCAAGGTTCTTGATAGTTATCTCAGTGGAATACTGCTTAGAAGCAGGTTGATGGCAATTTGTCCATCCCATCTGTTAGGCAGGCCAACAGGAGTGAGTGGTTCATCGAATCGTGAAACGTGTGAATTCACATCATCAGCTTAAGGCTAACCGCAGTCATTACTTGCTCTAAAGCTGTCATCATTATTGAGCGAACTGTTTCCGATGGCGACAAAATTACATGGATATAGAGCATAGAACAAAGAGGCCATAAGGAAGATGATTAGTTGTGATTAATGGTCGGATTCCAAAAAACTGCTGCTGATGATAAGTTCATCTGGGAAAACGAAAAGCAGTAATTTGACAGATGACCGATCGTTTCAGATCAACACAACACCAACCAATTCAACGTTGACTATTGCCAAATCGAGACCGGAATTCTCTGGCGAATACATGTGTTGTGTAGCGAATGTTGCTGGTAGCCAGGAATCACTGGCCAATCTGTCAGTGGTTCAGCCATCCGAAACGGGAAAAGCGCCCGAATTCACACAACGAATGAACGATGCTCGAGTACAGCAGAACAGCGCATCGCTGTTCAAATGTGTTGTAAGCGGCACACCAGAACCTACAACTAGTTGGTTCAAGGTTAATCCCTCATTCTCATTCGCGGAACGAAATTCGCGCTTCAGTGTAGCTAATTTCTCGGAATGTTTCGAATTTGCCTGTTGCGTTGACGTTCTGTTTTCATCGCTGCCATCTTTTTTTGTGTTTACTGCCGAAATAGTTGAACACAGAGCGGCAATTTTGTGGCGTTTGAATTTTGTCATTGTTCAAATTTCAGGATGGCAAGCCATTGCCAAATGATGCGCGATATCAAATTATTGATGAGGGCACTCAGCATACGTTAAATATTGCTGACACACTTCCTCAAGATGCTGGTATCTACGAATGTGTTGCCAAAAACAGTTTCGGTGAAGCGAGGTAAGATCACTTCATCGAAGCCGACCGCACTGCTGTGTTTTGTGTCGTACTCCTGAATTGTCTTCTTTATTTTAGTTATTGAAAGTGTCAGGCTCAAAACCGCATCTTTTTTATGAAAAAATAAAATGTGGGGAGGATTTTAAGATATCAAGCAAGTTGAGAGATGCGTGAATGATCAGTTTGCCAGTGAAGCGTGCAAAAATCAATTTGGATAAGAAGATTACGGATTTGCGGATGGCTTTTTCGTTGAAATCCACACCTACAGCACTGAGCAAAAATGCGGTTTTCGGATTTTTCAAGTCTTTTAACTGGGTGTGTCGGATTTTTTCAGGTGTAAAGCACGTCTTAATATTGTTCTTGCGAAAACCGGCAAGGGTGCAGAAGCTGGACCGAGATTGGAGGCTCCCCGATTCCAGTCTCAGATACAACCTGTTGTTGTTGCAGAAGGTGCACCAGCAGAATTTCGAGCGAAATATACTGGCTCTCCCGGTATGTTTACTGGCTCTTTTTGATTTCCGTTTCGGAGATGAGCTTTTCGATCGAAATGATGTCACTGATATTTCGATTCAGCAGCTGCTTTCAGAGCCCATGATTCGATGGTATCGTAACAATGAGCCGATTAAGAAGACGAAATATTTTGAAATGAGCCAAGGACGAGGTGAAGCATTACTCCGCATCACGCAATGTTACCAGGATGATGTGGCCGAGTACAAATGCGAAGCAACAAATCCAGCTGGCAAAGCTACAAGTGTTGCCAATTTGCTTTTGCAACGTAAAGTTTTTATTTTCTACTGCCATTCCACAAAATCCTTGCTCCCGAAATATGCCATGCTTTCAGCTATATTAACTTGGCTTTTGTTATCTCATATCTTTTTTATCTTTACTGCATTACCAACCACTGACTAGACCAACGTTTACTCGTGCCAAGCTTAGCCAGGCAAAATGCGGCATGGTTTTTTTTTTGGTGTTTCTGAGTGCTAAATTTGGTACCTTCTATGCCTCGGCACTTCCTAATTCATTGCTACCTACACAGCACAAGGAGCGCACAGGACGAGGTTCTACAAGCAAGCGATAACTTTTGTCACGTCTAAGAAAAAAGCCCTTGTCCTTCATTTTTCGAGATCGCTCAAACAATAAATTATGTATTCTGATGTTAATGAGGTATAATTATTCAGCAGGCGCTGCTATGCTAGTTAGCTGTTTTATTCCCCTGCAACTTTTATATCTGTTTTGTTCCCCCCAACATATATATGTTTTAGCTCAGTTTCGAAGAAAATCATAGCCCATTAGATTATTTGGCATTCAGTTTTAAATTCTTTCGGCGATAGTTTTTTACTTGCAGCAAAGGGCGGAGTGGTTACGCGAACAACGGCAGTCGCTTCTTCATCTGCTGCTGGTGAAGTTCCTTCTGACGCCGCAACTACTGGCAGTGCTCAAACCAAGAAAATGACTCCATCGTCTGGTGCACCGCAGTTTGTGTCAAAGCTTTCAGACATAAGCGCTCGACCAGGTAAGCCGGTGGTTCCAGCATCACTTCTGTGTAGGCTTCTCTGGGTACTGAGTCGGATACAGGCATGAAGTCGCATTTTCAAAACCTTTTCACCCTCCTTCACTTACACAAGATTTTCGAGAATTTCTTTTCAGAATTGTTTATGACTCTTTTCTAGGGCACACGGTGAAGTTTGTCGCGGAGATTTCCGGCAATCCGCAGCCAACTGTTGCATGGCAGTTCAACGGGAAGCCTATTTACGATAGCCGCGACCACAAGGTAATGTTGTAGGAGACTTCGACCATAAACTTGCATTTTTACACATTGACACATGCTTAAATTATATTTCATGATTTATATGGAAGATATTTTAAGATTAATAGTTTTATAGAGCCTGATTTTGCTCCTTTTAAATAATCGGCAGCAAGCGGTGGCATGATCAGAAGTTTTTCTGATGTGGGAAAATGGAGTTTCACTGAGCGGGAGTTGCGACTTCCAGCAGTTTTTTAAAATGGACAGTTGGAAAATTTTTTTTAAACCACGTACATGAAATAAATAATGATAATAAAATAAAACTCTTCCCTGGTTCTCAGTCCGTGACAGGAAGGCAGCGGTAGCATATGCTAGCAGCAGCCACTGAGTAGCAAAGCTCTTGATGGCTCTCTTTTCCGATCGTTGCTTTTAAGCAAGCTGCTTTTTTTACGAGCCATACAAAATTTATGTTCTGCTTTGCTTAAAAGAGAAATGAATTGATGCTGGTTCTTTTTTTTTCTCTTTTTCCACGGCAGTGGCAGAAAGTATCTGTGTGGGCGTTACGTGCATCGGTGGATTAGAATCTTCGAGATTGCTAATTGAATACTTTTTTAGATTTCGTTAGTTGGCAATAAGGCAGTGCTGGAGCTGCAACGAATTTCTGAGGCACAAGCCGGCGATTATGTGTTAACGATACGTAACCCACTAGGTGCTGCTCAGAGCCAAGCAAAACTGAAGATCCAGCTCCGATAATGTGCTTGGCTTAGTTTTAAATTCTGTCGGAATCGATTTTTGTAAAATTATTAATTGTATGTGTTTTGTCGTTGGTATAATTCAGTCTTGTATCCCAGGTCTTCATTTACTTTTTTCTGTTTTTGATACTTTTTTTTATTGCTTCATTTCTCGGTGAGCATTTTATGTATGCTTTCTTCCATTTATCTTTGGACGGTGTAAACCCATCCTGGAAAGGAACTGTGCAATATTTTGGTGAAAAAATTTCTCTGTAAGGAACCACGGTGGTAATCTTTCAGTGTGATTCTTGCGATGTCACTTTGTAAGCAGCTTTGAATTTTATAGCTTCTCTGAAACGGATTGCCGAGCAGACGATACGCATCGCCGCTGAGTATATGCTGTGCAGTCAAAA